TCTGGTTTCACTGGTTATCTTCTCTGGCATCTGCTGCTGACCTCTGGGAAGTGCAGGGAAGCACGTCAGGGCCCCGGTTATCTTCTCTGGCATCTGCTGCTGACCTCTGGGACGTGCAGGGAAGCACATCAGGGCCCGGACCTGCTTCAGCTTAGTCCAAACAGGGGCTGCCTAGTTCAGACCCCGCCCCGACATTATGGAAGTGAGAATGTTGCTGAAGATCATCCAACAATGGTTGTAGCAGTCCATTGACAGGGAGCTGCCGGAAACTCAAGTTGGATTCAGATCACTGGCCCCCATCCCCGCATCCTTAACGTAACAAACTGGGTTTGCACCAAGTCTGTGGTGGGCACACTTACATAATACCAGTCTCTCCAAACTTTTTTTATTCTGCCCGAAAAGCTCTTTCCCTCCACCCTTGTCATTCAGAAGGAAGCTCTTCATGCCTGTTTGCTCACTGGCTTTTCCCGTAATTCTGTTTCACTGCCGTGTACTTTTGAATTCCTGACTTGTCTGCTTTCCGTTTTTTAATTGATCTTTGAAACCACGGGTACCAAAGCGGCCTTTGACTTTTTTTCTTTTTTTAATCGTTTTATTAGGGGCTCATACAACTCTTATCACAATCCATACACACATCAGTTGTGTAAAGCACATTTGTACATTCCTTGCCCTCATCATTCTCAAAACATTTCTTCTCCACTTAAGCCCCCGGCATGAGGTCCTCATTTGGCCTTTGACTTTTCTGAAAGCAATTTGTGCCCTGCCTGTCCTGTGAAGATGGAGTCCCTGGGAATCCGTCCACGTTTCCCAAGGAGGCCGTGAATCCCAAGGAGGTCCTCGCCTCCTGTAAGTCAGCCTGGCCCCTTGTACGGTGTACGGAAGGCGCTCGCAGACATGGCCGCGCCCAGGCGGACGGCGGGCGCGGACACGTGACCTCCCGAGGCGGCCGGGTGTCCTCAAGCGACCTTGACCCTCGCCAGCCCCCGTAGGGGGACCAGGATCCCGCGCGCGTTTGAGCGCCGTCGTGGAAGTTCCCTTTGAGTGTT